CGAGGAACTGGACCTGAATGCCCCTGCCCTGGCACGCGGATAAGGGCGAAAGCTCCAATGCGCGCCCCGCAAAGGAACTGGGGGGCCCGAGAGATGAACTGGACCTTAACGCGACCACCGTTGCATTATGTCGAGCCAATGGGCTCCGAACCGCGCGGCCTAAGGAACGGGAGATGCTCCAGCGAGGAATTGGACCTTAATGCCCCTACCTTGGCACGCAGCTAAAGGCGAAAACTCAAACGTGCGCCCCGCAAGGAACGGGAAGGCCCGACAGAGGCGCCTGGTTTGTGTGCGACCGCCGTCGCGCTACGTCGAGCAAGCGCAAGGAACCGAGCCCCTCTTGGAGCCCCGTTCCTTAGACCAGCCGCCCTCATCGACAAAACGAACCCGCGCGGCCCAAATCTGAAGGAACACCAGGGGGGCTCGCCGCCAAAAGAGTAGGGGAACGCATGCAAACCACAGGAACGACAGAGCCCTTTTTGAAAAGCAAGTGCTCCGTATTCAAGCCGGATCCTGTAGGCCACCCCCCATTACCACCCGCCCGACGCACACCTGCAAAATACCCCGAGACCCGTCCCGAACGGCTCCAGGTGGCCACGGAGCCTCCCAAGGATGCCCCCCCAGAGCCGCCGCCCCGAGACGCTGGGGTCGTTCGGCTCGAATCGTCGCCGTCGTCGCCATGGTCGTCCTTCTCTCTCTCGCCTTGCAGCCGGCTTGGGCTCTCGTCCTCTGGGACGCCAGCCAGAGAGCATGCATCCGGGCTTGCGTCGGGTCAACAGGGGACCTCTTCCATTGGATTTCCTCCCCGCAGGGGGGGGTCTCCGGGGGTGCCAAAGGGTGGTGTGTGTGTCCCGCGCGGGAGCACCTCCCCGCTCGGAGAAGCTTTTTCACACTCGCCTTTGGGGGTAATTAATGTTCGGGCTAGCTTCGCCTTCTCTCGGCAACCCAGGCCTAAGATGCCCAAGATGGCCCCAGGATGCTTACACGACGTCCCAAGAGGGCCCCAGTAGGACCCCCACGATGATTCCAGCGCTCTCGCCTATTCGGTCTCCCAGCGCTCCAAGACGGCCAAAGAAATCCCCGAAATCGCTCCACCCCGAAATGGACCCCCGCGACCGCAAGCAGGCCCACGAATGCCCCGAAGAGGCTCCCAAGAGGGGCCGTAATAACCCCAAGAGGCCTTCACATGAATTTATGGGGAACCCCCAAACCAAATGGTGATGTATCAGGTGGTGACCTGGAATCCCCCAAAAAGTCACCGCCGGATTTTGTAACATGGGGTCACCGTCGGGTTTTGTGACTCCTTGACCCACCAGCGTTCGGGACATCCTCGAAAAACCACACGAGCCCCCAAGCCAAGTGGCGACACCAGATCGCACGAGACTCACCGCCGGGCGCACTTAGTCACCACCACGTTTGGGGACCACCACATCTGAGAAGCCTCTGGTCCACCACCTGGGCACAGTGGCAGAATGGGCCGACGGCCACTGGACAGAGGTGGTACAGTGCGGGCGCGGCCGCAAGAAACCCTCGCAAGAAACCCAACCCTGAGAACCCGTGCGCGAGGCGCACCTGAGGGGAAACCCAGAGCACCCTGAACGTGGCAGCTCCTTCAGCGGCCGCGGGAAGTCGCCGCGCAGCGCGAGGAGCAAAGAAACCGAGGATACCCTGACGAAAAGCATACGGTTTCTTGATGCGCGCCCCCACTGCACGTTGCTCTGTCTCTGCGCCAATCTACGGCAGGTTCGTGTCGTGCCGACCCCAGCGTTGGTTTCTGACACCGCGGGGATCGTTCAACCTTGAACGATCGGCCGTTTCCGCAACGTCCAATCGTTCAACATCGATCGATTCTGGGCCGCCGCCGGCGTTCAAAGTTGAACGCCGCTGGCGGGGTCGCCGCTGGTCGACACGACACGAACCTACCGTAGGCATGCTCTTCAAACCCTTTCTGAGATAATCGTCGGCCTGCATCCGTGCACCCCTCGACCTCTCTTGCGGCCTTGCTGGGGCCGCCTGATCTCCCTTCGGGGTCGGCAGAACCAGCCGCAGGGCCTCTCAGATCCGTCCACAGCCAAAGGGAGACACACGATGTGCGGCTTCTCGCTCTCTCGCTTCCGATGGGCTTTGACGCCTCAAGATGGCTCGAAGATGACCCAAGAGAGCCCCCTAGAAGGGCTATGGGGAGCTCATGCGGGCTCCGAAACGCCCCCAAGAACGCCACGAGAGGGCCCCAAGAGGAGACTTTCCGGGCCCACGGGGAGCACCCCCAGGAAAGGACACCCCCTTCGTTCAAAAACAAAGTCGTATGAACGCATTAGCATCTTTACATGTTCTTGGGGGGTATCCTTTGATGGCGTTTGGGCCAAGATGGCTTCAAGGTGGCCTCGGATAGCCCAAGGTGGCCACGAGATGGCGCAACGGGGTCCGCCAACATGTCTCCAAGAGACCGCCCCTAGACGGCTGCAAGTGAATACGGATTCCCGAGTCCTCACGATGGCTCGAAGATGGCCCAAGAGAGCCCCAAGATGGGCCCAGGACGGCTCCAAGACGGCCCCAAGAGGGCCCGAACAAACACGCCTTGGGCTTCGAGAGGGCGATTTCAATTGGGATCCCCCTTCTTAATTAGGCCTCCAGAGAGGCCCCAAGAAAGCTCCCAAGGCCCACAAGAGGGCCCCAACAGAGCTGCGGAGGCTTTCACAGTTGCCCCAAGAAGGCTCCAAGATAGCTCCAAGATAGCTCCAAGAGGCGTCCAAGAAACTTCCGAAAAGCTCTTAGAGCGAAAGATCAGCGAAGGCCGCTATCCTTGACTCCTGACGTCGTCGTCCTCGTCGTCCTCCTCCTCCTCCTCGTCGTCCTCCTCCTCCTCCTCCTCCTCCTCCTCCTCCTCCTCATGACCATCATCCTCGTCGTCGTCGACTTCGTCCTCCTCCATCATCCACATCGTTTATCATCTCTCTCTCTCTCTCCTCACTGTTCATTGTCTCATCCGCTGATATCTCGCTTGGTGATCAAAGTAGCGTAGGAGCCTCCCGTGGACCAGAAGTGTAAGTCAGCCGTAGTCCCGAAACTCGGGGTCAGCCTAAGCGTACACATGAGTGGAACTGCCGAGCTTGCCGTCTAAAACGGCGCAGGAGGAGGAGGAGGCGGCGGATGAGACAATATACAAAGAGGAGAGAGAGAGAGATGAGGAAGGATGCGGAGGACGGAGGAGGAAGAGGGCGACGACGACATGAACAAGGATGATGATAATGAGGATGAGGAGGAAGAGGAGGAAGGGGAGGGAGGGGAGAGCGGGGAGCGAGGGAGGACGACAGAGGGGGACTGTGCACCTCCCCCCATCCTCGCCCGGCGAGCCAAGAACCGAATCGACGAGCCGGGTCGGCGATCGAGATGAACGTCGGCAGGAATCGGGAAACGTCGAATCGGCGGAAACCGGCACGTCGATGAGGCCTCCATCGAGGAATCGGAATCCAGATCGGCATCCGAAGCCGCATCGAATCGGAATCGGAAGCCATCGAAATCGAATCGAATTAGCAGAATCGAAACAAGCCCTGATCCTCTCCCTGAGACGAAGCCAGGACGAGATGCAAATCGGATGAAGGCAGATCGAGAATCTCTGAGATGCACTGGCTCTCGAAATTGTCTCGGGCGCCGCGGCCTTCTCAAAGCGTTCCGGAACGCTCTGAAAGCCTTCCGGAACGCTCTGAAACGGATTTCTCCTCGCACTGGCCCCGTCCGACTCCCCCAGACATCCAACGTCTCGATTTTTTGAGACACGGGCCTCTGACCTCCCGACCACTTCCCGGGACCGACTTTTCGGGCCCCGCTCCTCCCCAGCCCTACGACAGCGTGCTCCCTCCGTGCCGCTGGCCGCCCCCCGAAGCCCGCCGGGGGCCCCGAGGGACAAACCGCCAAGAGCCGAGCCGCGGCACGCAGGCCTCGATCGGCTCGGGGAGGACCAAGTGCCTCGAATGCGGGTAGGATGTGTACGGCGGGTTCGTGTCGTGTCGACCCTGGCGTTGGTTTCCGACGCCGCGGGGATCGTTCAACCTTGAACGATCGGCCGTTTACGGAACGTCCAAACCGTTCCACATCGAACGAGTCTGGGTCGCCCGCGGCGTTCAAAGCTGAACGCCGCTGGCGGGGTCGCCGCAAGTCGACACGACACTAACCTACCGTATCCATACGCTGCGTCTTGGAGTCTCGGGCTCCACTTCCCAGAAGCCCGAGGCGCAGTGGATCTGTAAAAAGATCTGGCCCCTTTGGGGGCTAGATCTGCGTTCGTATCCACTGCGCCTCGGCCTCGTGGCGCCCCCTCCCAGAGAGCCCAAGACGCCGTGGATCTGGGCACAAATCCTGCCCGCCTCTAACGCCAAGGATAAGACAAAACCAGGACGAGGATACATCCGGGTGAGGATAACTCGATAACTTCTGATATCCGGCGGTATGTATATATATATATATATATATATATATACGTTATCAATAATAATAATATTATTAATAATAATAATAAAAATACTAAACATACTAATAATAATGATAATAATAATAACAACAACACTAATAACAATAATAATAATAATAATACGAATAATCATAATACGAATAATAATAATAATAATAATAATAATAATAATAATAATAAAAGTATTAGTAATAATAATAATATAAATAACAAGAACAACAAACATTGTAATAGTAATATATATATATATATATATATGCTTGTCAGCTTGCCTGCCTGCCCCGGAAGATGTCTCGGGCGCCGCGGCCGTCTCAGAGCCTTCCCGAACGCTCTGGAATGGATGTGACGCGACTGCAGGCCCGTCCGGGGAGGCCCAAGTGCCTCCAACGCCAAGGAGGACACATTTGCGTCGGTCATCTCTGGCCTCCCGGGGGGCTTTCCCAGGGCACGGGATGGCCCCAAAAAACGCCCTGGAGCGAAACCGAATGCCGAGCGCAGAGCCGAATATCCGACACAACCGCAGGGCCATTTTGGAGGGATCGGGGACGGAAACAGTGCACAGAGCACGGCGGGTTGGAGGGGCACGACGCGCACGAGCAGCTCGCCGAGGTGGTCCAGGCGTCCGCGGGGCACCTCGGCCACCAGGCGGTCCGCCCGATGGTGCATCCGTGGGGCCAGCGGCGGCACCGGCGGGCCCCAGCAGCACAGTGCGATCGCGGCTGGCAGTTGGTGTCGAGCACGTCGGCCGCCAGACGCAGTTTCCGCCTGCTGATTGACAGTGCACAGAGCAGGGCATCCTCGTCCATAGCAGTGGCGTGGCTCGGCCCAGTGAGAGAGGAGAGCGCTGGAGCGCCCTGCTGCTCTACTGGCGGCCTTCCTCCTCCTCCTCCTCCTCCCCCTCCCCTCCCCAGCTCCTCCTCCTCCCCGCTCCTCCTCCTCCTCCTCCTCCTCCTCCTTTTCTCCTCCTCCTCTTCCTCCTTATTCTCCTCCTTCTCCTCCTCCTCCTCCTCCTCCTCCTTATTCTCCTCCTTCTCCTCCCCTCTCTGCCACACCATGGGAGGTGCCCGCAGGCCGGGCTGGGCGTTTCGCCAATCAGGATCCAGAACCTGTTGTTGCAACAACTTCAAGGATGGAGCCCAGGTAGTCTTCTGAATGCGGCTCTCAGCACAGCGCCGCGCTATGTATGTATGCATGTATGTATGTGCCTGTCTGTCTGTCTGTCTGTCTGTCTGTTTGTCTCTCTGTCAGTCTGCGTGTATGTATGCGTGTATGTATGTATGTATGCATGCATGCATGCATGCATGTTTAATATATGTATATATATATGCACGTATAGTCACATATATATATATATATATATATATATATATATATATATCAAGACACATAAATACACATAAGCATTGCGTAACCTCTCCTTTTCGTTGTCTTTGTTATCCTCCTCCCGTGCCTCGCGGAGCCTCAAACCCCAGGCATGGTCACGCGAGAGTTGCGACTGCGACCGAAAATGCTGAAGAAGCCTTGCGGGCTCCCTCCGAGATGTCCACTAAAGTCAAGCGCTTGGCACATGACTCCGGAGGAATCGCCACGTCGGAGTGGTCGTCTTCACCCAGTAGACCCCCCACAGCAAAGCCTGCTCGGCCTAAGTGCTTCACATGAACGTTTAGATAGCGGAAGCCATTGTCCGAAATTCCAAGAACTACTTTCAGATCAACCTTACCGAACGCAACCCATTCTGGAGACTCGACAACACGTTGCGAAACGCTGTAATGATATCCACCGGCTCGTTTCACCTCCGCCCAGGACCCTGTCACGTTCAGTTCTTGGATGTACATATCCGCGCAGCGCCCACCCAATCGGCGCGCATCGACCTGCACGCGAAGTAGGGCGCGTTCTGAACCTTCTCCACGAGGAATGTTTATCAGAACGTGCCTGCCCGCCTTCATCAGGTCGAACCGCTGGCCATAGATGTTCTGCAGGTGGGGGTCGCCCACCGCAGAAGCTCCGGAGCCTGCACCCGCCGACGCGGGCGTCGTCGTCGTCGCATACGTGAACACTCCAGAATCGCAGGGGACCGCGTTGCTCGTCGGGGCGCCGCAATTCCAGCTGGCTATCGCGCTGCAGGAACTTCCGGACGCCGACGTGCATAGCTCGACGCTCATGTCACCAGGCCACCGGCCCCCCCAGTTTCCGTATGCCTTGACCTGATTGAGGACCACCGCCCCACTTGCTCTCACGAGGAACCATGTGCCAGGGGCAAACGTGACCATCGCTGCTCCTTGAAACCCAGTCTGGTAAGAAGGGTTGCCGGCGTCTCCGCAGCTTGTGCCGCGGTCGAGGATGTTGGTGCAGATTCGAGACCGGCAGTCGTCCGAGCTCGTTCCCGTGTCAAAGATGTTAGTCTGGCTGGAGCTCTTGGCCCTCAATGGAGTTTCCTGCGAACATCCGACAACCTCCGCACTCAGCAGTCCATCGCTCGAATAGAACTCCATCTCGGTGATGTCGAATACTGAATGCTGGCATGTCTGCCACCGCGCCTGCAGCGGTTGGTGTGCGCGTGTGGATGTAGTGTTGTTGTTGCTGCTGCTATTGACCTCGAATATACGAAGAAAAACTATTGCTGACCCCCAGGTCTCGCGCGCATGGTGTCTTTTCGATCGAAATGCCCCTCCCCAAAGCATCTTGTTTTTTATCGGTGGAAAGCTGTGCTGTTGGCCGCCCGACAACCACAACAACGGGTCCCGCCTGATACTTCCTTGGAATTGATGCACGATTGCGCTCTTGCTCGAGACTTTCTCACAATTGACTCAGGAATCGCGCTCTCATCTAGGCCTTCCTGGCAAGTTACTCAAGCGCTGCGCTCTCGACGTCCAGGAGTGACCCTCTCGCCTGAGACTGTTTCACAGTGCTCGAAAGTCGCTCCAACCCGGACATCTGGCCACTCCAATTCTGTCGATGCGTGAGTCCCCGTGGGTTTGGACCGCTTCCCCAGGGCGGTTTCTGCGTCCCTTGGTAATCCCCAAACGTGGTGGTGACAACACCTGGCGGTGAGTCTCGGGCGATTTGGTGTCACCACCCGGTTTGGGGACTCGTGCGGTTTTCCGAAGATGTCCCGAACACTGGTGGGTCCAGGAGTCACAGAACCCGGTGGTGACCCCGTGTCCCCAAACCCAGCGGTGACCTTTTGGGGGATTCCAGGTCGCCACCTGGTATCTCACCACCCGGTTTGGGGGTTCCCCAGTCCCGAGTCGTTCTGTCGACGGCCCCGGGGCCCGACGAGGGCCCCGGAGGCGGAACACCTCCGAGAAGCCGCCGCTCCAGCCCGACCCGTCCGCCGGGGCCCCACCCGCCCGACCCGCCCGTTGGGGGGTCCGCCCGCCCCGCCCCCGACCGTCCCATTGAGGTCCGCCGGTTCGCCTGCTGGGAAGCCCGGCCGCCCGCTTCAGTGTCCCACCCGATCCTCCTCCTCCTCCTCCTCCTCCTCCTCCTCCTCCTCCTCCCGACACGCCCGTTAGGGTGAGGCGCAACGACGGGGGGGACTAGCATGTGGTCAGGTCGGGCCTGTCCTCCTACAGGGGGGGGGGCTTTGGCCGAAAAATAAGAAATACACCAAACACACTCAAAAGATGCCCAAACATGCTCAAAAAGCGTCCCCAGACTTTTTTTTTGACTATTTTTGAATATTCCCCCTGTAAAGAGACAGGCCCGACTTAAGCATGTGGGGGGGAAACATCGACCTGCAATCGGCGATACGTCGCCGATGGATCGGCGATACACCCCCGATAGCGAATCCCCACGCCCCTGGGCGGGGTGGGGCTATCGGGCCCCTATCGGCGATCAATGGGCAATTAGCAGTCGATGCATCCCCTCCTATGCCTATTCCTCCCATCGTTGCCCCTGATAGGGTCCGCCCCGCCCGGCCCGCCCGTGAGGGTTCGACCTATCCGTCAGGGTCTGGCCGTTCGCGTGATTGGAAGCCCGACCGCCCACTTTGATGTAAGACGAAGGTAGAATCGAGACAACATCGGACCGATATTAATCGGAAATCTCTGAGAATCGGCGGGTTTGGAGTGTCTCGGGCGCCGCGGCCTTCTGAGAGCGTTCTGAGACGCACTGGAACCGATTTATTCGATTCTAGGCCCGTCCGATGAGGGTTGGACTTGTCCATCAAGGTCTGGCTGTTCGCGTGATTGGAAGCCCGACCGCCTGCTTTGATGCCCCGCCGGAACCCGCCCGTTAGGGCGGGCCTGCCCGTCAAGGCTCGATTGCCAACATTCTGCCTCCTCCCTCCTACGTCTCCCGCTATCTCTTTCGGGCGTGTGCTAGGGGGTGACCCAATTTGGGGGATGAAGAAGAGGACCCTAAAGGGGCCCTTTTCTTCATCCCCCAATGAAGTCACCCCATTACCATCAACCCGAGACTCTTCTCTCCTGCGTCTCCCGCTATGTCTTCTTCTTACTCAATCCTCCTCTTTTATTATTGCCCCCTCCCTTCTCGTGTCCTCCTGTCTCGCTATCTCCATTCTCGTGCTCCCTCCTCCTCCTGCTGCTTTAAGAGCCGTGCCAACTACACTTGGCCAACGAAGAGGATATAACCCCCAAACGGGTCCGACCTCGGAGACGAAGAGGGCGGGTATGAGGGTATGGGGTAGGTATGTTGTATGATACCTGAACATCGAAGAGCGAGCAGTCCTACAATAATCGTTACAGATGTGAGATTCGCACGATACGAAGCGATAGTTGAGCATCGCTTCACCGATCCCCATCTCGCCGTGCATTCTGCCCCACTGGCCGACCTGCTCGCCTTGGAGGGAATACTCCCAGCTTCTGGCTTCGCGGGACCTGCCTCCACCTAAGGGTGGGCTGATGGTGCGGGCCCCAGGAAATTACAGCACCACCACCTCCATTCCCCCTCCCGACTCCGCCCTCCTCTTCCCCTCCTCATTCCTGAGGGGGGAAGGGGGGCGGGGAAGGTGGTGGTGGTGGTGTACATGTTTGGGCCCCGTAGATGGGCCTGGGGCACGATGGCCCCGTGGGGATGGGGGTCGGTCAGACGACGCTGAACAATCAGGGCTTCCCCACACATAGTAACCCTGACTCCTATTCTCCCACAGAGCCCGTTAGGGCGGGCCTGCCCGTCAAAGCTCGCTTGCCAAAATTCTGTCTCCTCCCTCCTGCGTCTCCCGCTATGTCTTTCGGGCGTGTGTTAATGGGGGGTGACCCAATTTGGGGGATGAAGAGGACCCTAAAGGGGCCCTTTTCTTCATCCCCCAATGAAGTCACCCCATTACCATCAACCCGAGACTCTTCTCTCCTGCGTCTCCCGCTATGTCATCTTCGAACTCAATCCTCCTCTTTATTATTGGCCCTTCCCTTCTCGTATCCTCCTGTCTAGCTATCTCCATTCTCGTGCTCCCTCCTCCTCCTGCTGCTTTAAGAGCCGTGCCAACTACACTTGGCCAACGAGGAGGATATAACCCCCAAACGGGTCCGACCTCGGAGACGAAGAGGGCGGGTATGAGGGTATGGGGTAGGTATGTTGAATGACACCTGAACAACGAAGAGCGAGCAGTCCAACAATGATCGTTACAGATGTGATATTCGCACGATACGAAGCGATAGTTGAGCATCGCTTCACCGATCCCCATCTCGCCGTGCATTCTGCCCCACTGGCCGACCTGCTCGCCTTGGTGGGAATACTCCCAGCTTCTGGCTTCGCGGGACCTGCCTCCACCTAAGGGTGGGCTGATGGTGCGGGCCCCAAGAAGTTACACCACAACCACCTCCATTCCCCTCCCGACTCCGCCCTCCTCTTCCCCTCCTCATTCCTGAGAGGGGATGGGGGACGCGGGGGTGGTGGTGGTGTATATTTTTGGGCCCCGTAGATGGGCCTGGGGCACGATGGCCCCGTGGGGATGGGGGTCCGTCAGACGACGCTGAACGATCAGGGCTTCCCCACACATAGTAACCCTGTCTCTTCCTCTCTCACAGAGCCCCGGAGGCGCACAGCGTCGGCCGAGCACACCCAGCCCCTGGGGTGCAGAAGGAGCCGGACCTGCCACGACTGAAGAAACCTGGGCACGGCTCCCGCGGCCGTGGATGCGGCTGACCCCCGCGTCGTGAAGAGGGAGGAGGGGGAGGAGGAGGAGGAGGAGGAGGAGGAGGAGGAGGAGGAGGAGGAGGAGAGGAGTGGAGTGGAGAGGAGAGGA